CAAATATGATGTTGGAGGAGGGAGGAAATTTGACACCCTTAGTGAATTGGTTGAACACTACCGAAGAAATCCAATGGTGGAACAGTCTGGTACTGTGGTTCCTCTAAAGATGCCTTTCAATGCCACAAGAATCAATGCACGTGGCATTGACAGCAGAGTCAGAGAATTATCGGTGAGTCAGAGCTGTTTAGAACTTGTTTGTGATGAATCTAGGGGGGTGGGATTGAGATGATGTATGAGATTTCTGGACACATAAGATTGCACATATCTATACATGTAATAGACATCTGGTGGCTCTCCCTCTTACTAACAAATCTCCTCCCTTGCGTTACTCATTTGGTGACGGGTCACTTAGCGTCGACGCCAAACAAGTTTTGACCCATCATTACAGAAGGAGCATCAGGGACCCACTATGGGGAAGGCTGGATTCTGGGAGGAGTTTGAATCTCTGCAACAACAAGAGTGTAAGCAGCTCTACTCACGCAAGGAAGGCCAGAAGCCTGAGAACCGTAACAAAAACCGCTACAAGAATATTTTACCTTTTGACCACACAAGGGTCATACTGAGAGATACAGATCCTGGGATTCCAGGGTCTGATTACATAAATGCTAATCTTATCACTGTAAGTATGGTGATGATAACATTTACTTTTATTGTCATGAAGGTTGCAATAATCTTGATCTATTACTGTTGTCATAGTATTATGCTAGTTAAAATAAACCAAATGGCAATAATGATGCCAAGGCAGCTTTTACAGATACTGGCCAAACCAGTTTGATTAATTATGATATAATGATAGTAGAAAAGTCTATCTCTAGGAAAAGGAAGAAATTTAAGTCTACTAATAACAATGTTGAGAAAAATGTATTTTCCATTATTTTCGTACATCTTGTCCTAAATCATTTAGTATATCTTATTCAGAGAAAAGGTAAACCCCTGAATGTTGCAGGTAATGGTTAACCAGAGCATAATGATTGCATTTTTTCTCAAAGTCATAATGAGTGATTGCTATATGTGCATGATGCTGTTGAAATTATGTTTTATTATAATCAACTTTAATCAAATTATAATTTCAGTAATTAGAAAGTTTCATTTGATATGCAAATGCTCAGGTAGATTATTACATTATAGAGTTATGTACTAGGTTTACCTGAATTCACCTGTTTACATCAGTCCCAAAATTTCAAAATGATTATTCCTTTACCTGGGCTTTTACTTAGAGTCTTGAAAATTATTATTGAGCATTATTATTATCAGCCATATCTGGAACTATCAGGGGAGGATGAAATGTTGATTGTGTCATACAGTAGTATTAGACTCTCTTGCTCAGAAGGAAAGAATAAAAAAAAAAAAGGAAAAAAAAAATCCCATTACAACACTTGTGATAAGCACTTGCTGTTGTGGGTTCAGAAAAGTCCTCAATTCCTCCATTATTCAAATTTCTCATGCCAGTAAGGGTTAGTTCTTTCTAAACACGTTAATACAAGCCTGTTGTCTTAACCCCTTGGTGCCGGGTGACGCCGATCGGCGTGTAAACAAAGCGCTCGAAAGCTGGCGTGCAGCCGAACGAGCTGGCGGCGCGCCAAAGCGCGGCGAGCCAGTGATTCAGGCTGATGTCCCCTACTCACGCCCTCAAAGTCGGCGCGCCGCCTTTGTTTGTTTAAGCGTAGAGTTTTTTTTTTGTTTTGTACACCCGGCGCCATTGGGTTAAGATACAAGGTATCCAACAAACACATTAGCATTATTCCCATGTTTTTTCATCTTTATTAAAAAGTTCATTATTTTCAGAGTGAAGAAGATTTGGGCAGTGAAGCCAAAACTTACATAGCTACACAGGGATGCTTGCCTTCCACATGTGCAGATTTCTGGTGGATGATCTGGCAGGAAAATACAAGAGTTATTGTCATGACCACAAAAGAAGTTGAAAGAGGAAAGGTAATACCTTTTTTATGTGTATTGGTTTCTGGGATATCTGTGCAGAGTAATTTTGATAAAGAGTTCCAAATATTAGGTAAATTAGCATTGTTACTCTAATATCTAACATCTTGTTCATCAGACTTTTACAAATCTACACCACTTTTATCCAGCATTTAGCCTTGCTAAAGCAACATTTTAGACATGCCAATCAGCCCATGCACTAGACTTTTGTTAAGGAGATACACAGTAACAGTAATTAGGTTGTAGTAAAGTCTTTTTTATCTGAAATGGGTGAGGAATTTAGTAGACCAGTTAATCAAATGTAGTAGTAATTAGAGGGATACTTATTAAAACCCTGGACTAATCAACAACAGTTGTTGTACAGGCCAAGTACATTTCACTAAATGTTTAAAAAAAAGAAATGTTCTTGGTGTCTAGGACAACAATTATTTGTGTCATGTAGTTTAGGACAGTTATGTTCAAGAACATCATGACCTTTTATAACTGATGCTTATTGAGCATTAGTAAGAAGTAAGAATATCAGAGAGCAAGGAAGTAAGAAAAACAGATAGTGAGGATGGCAGTATGAAGGAACAGTTAGCCAGCCACATATAAATTTGGGTTTGTTTGTTTCACTCTGTAACCTTGTTCAGTTGTCTCCACTTTCATGCCTCCATAATTGCTTTCATTTTTGTTAACACATTTTATGAACAAATTTCAGCATTTTTTGTAATTACCAGGCTTATGTTTTCTTATTTCCATACATTGGAAGTGCATATGAATATGCAGCAAAATCTTAAAATATCTTTAGCATTTGCAAGTCAATCTTTATGTAAGTTTATTTTGGGCCATAGTTGTGGTTAACAGAGAGTTTTAGTTAAGAAGAAATCAGTTGACAGATAGTTAAGTTTGACCTAGCATGTAGAGTAAAGATTTGAATAATAATGAAGTTGTTATTTAAGTTGTTATTTATTTTAAGGATAAACATAGATAGAGGACCATCAAAATCTATATTCGTTCTCTTCACTCTCTTCAGACATCATAGAGGCCAATATTTGTATGGCACAGTCAGAGACAAATGAATGGTCAATAGTATATCCAGGATTGTCCCCTGTAGGTGTTCTCCACACCTTGTAATACTGTTATGTGAGGTTGCTAAGAACTTTTACTTCTGTGCTGCAGCATTTTATACAGTATAATATGGAAAGTAACTAGGTTAAGATTTCGTTATTTAATACCTAGAGTAAATATATGGGTATATGGAACAAGAGATATACTGTCACTTATTTTGTATATTGATGGTAATAGATGCACTATTCACTAACACCTTGACACACACTTTCACACTGTTAACTTTGTGATATGCTTGGGTAGAGTAGTAACTTAGGTCAGCAATTTTGATTCCACAATAAACCGCAGACCCTGTCCTCTTTTGTCACCCATTAGTAAGGGGCTAATGATAAGCATCCCATCAGATGCCCAGAAAATGGACCATTTCCGGGCGTCTCATAAGGTGTGACTAGGAAGGGAGGAAGGGAAACAGAGATAGGCAGGAAGGCAGAGGTAGGCAAGGGTAGATAGAGACATAGAGGTGTGTGTGTGTGTGTGTGTGTGTGTGTGTGTGTGTGTGTGTGTGTGTGTGTGTGTGTGTGTGTGTGTGTGTGTGTGTGTGTGTGTGTGTGTGCGTGCGTGCTTGTGTGCGTGCTTGTGTGCGTGCGTGTGTGTGTAGATAGAGACAGAGAGGTGTGCGTGTGTGTGTGTGTGTGTACATGACATCAAGGAGATGATGAAGTGACATTTCAGTCACCATCTTTACTTTCAAAACACACACACACACACACACACACACACACACACACACACACACACACACACACACACACACACACACACACACACACATACTGCACGTAGAACAATGAAGGGAAGTATACCTTGTGGTGGCTGCGATAAAGTTTACATAGGTGAGAACAACGAATCAACCAACACCACAGCGCCCTCTGACGACATGACTGGAGGAGCGCCTTAGTTGTTCACGTCGACACCGACGGCCATTTCCCTAAGTGGTCCCAGGCCTCCATCATAAAACAAGGCTTGCCCCCACGACAAAGGAATATGGTAGAAGCAGTATACATACACTCTACAAACAACTTCAACACCGCAATGGGGAGCCATGAACTAGCCAAGGTCGTCGCTCACCTGATCACTGACATGATGCAGTAAATGCAAAAAGGCCTTCGGCATATTCATATGTTTTCCTGGACTTCCCTTCATTGTTCTACTTGCAATTTGTTTGACATGAATTCCACACAGACACACACACACACACACACACACACACACACACACACACACACACACACACACACACACACACACACACACACACACACACACACACACACACACAAATACACACAAATACACACAAATACACACAAATACACACACACACACAAATACACACACACACACAAATACACACACACACAAATACACACACACACACAAATACACACACACACACAAATACACACACACACACAAATGCACACACACACAAATGCACACACACACACACAAATGCACACACACACACAAATGCACACACACACACACACACAAATACACACACACACACACAAATACACACACACACACACACAAATACACACACACACACACACACACACACGTGCTCCATATTTGCCACCTGGAAAGTTGGGCGAATGACACTATGAGGAGGTGATGTCGGGTTTGCTCCAGAAAGGGTCATCATCACAGTAGCAGGAATTATTGTGGCGATTGCGACATCGGACTATGTACCTATGGGTACCTTGTAATGTGGCGCATGTAAAAAAAAAAAAAAAAAAAAAAAAAAAAAAAAAAAAAAAAAAAAAAATACCCACACGATGTGTTGGCATATATATTACTGAAAGTAACACACATGGAATTATAAGATAGTGTAGACCCTATACTAAAACTTCCAATCATTGCAACAAGTGTTGAGATTACATTTTAGCTTTACATGCATGCAAAATATCATATTCTCAAAAGCATAAACTTCAATATAATCCTAAAGT